GGCTGACCCGCCGCATGCGACGGCTGCGGCGTGACCTAGTTTCGACGGACACGCGCAACGAAGCGCACCCTGCAGAGGCTGTAACATTCACAAGGAAACCCATTTGTGAAGTTCTAACAACTTGTCATGAACCGTAGCGACAGCGAAAGGCAGTTCTGCACGGTCCTGGCTTGATGTAGTCAGCTCTTTGCTCAACTGCAACAACTGAAATCTCGTCCAAATTCTCTCCCTTGTCATTTCCGACATAGTAATCTCGTACAACCTCTATTTTCACAACTTTTAGGAAACCTTATTTCTAGCGAAATCGGCGAATTTTCTCGCTTTTTTCACCACCGTTGCACTATTCCCAACCAATATCTCCGCTTCTCTACTTGGGAAGGGTATTCAAGATTATCGTGAACTGTGCCTATAAGCGGACGGAGAATCTGGCATTTGACATTGTCCTTTAAAGACAGAGGTCACGTGGCGTTGTCATATCTGAGAACATCCTAGATAGGGCGTTATAGAGGCTCAAAGACCGGCATTGTAGAGGCTGCGCCAATCGTAAGGAAGCTAATGTAGGGAGATCAAACAAATTGTCTTACTCATAGTGAAATACAAGATAGTTCTGTACAGTTCTGGCTTGATGTAGTCAGTTCCTTGCGCAATTGCATTAACTGAAATCTCGTCCGAATACCTCCTCCATGTTATTCCTGTCATGGTAATCTCGTCCAACCTCAATCATCCCTACCTTTGAGGAGTCATATTTTTCTAGAAATTGGTGAATTTTCTTGCTTTCTTCTTTAACGATGAACGACTCCCATCCTACACTTCCGCTTTTCGACCAAAAAAGGCTCTCTGAATTATCGTGGACTGTGCCTTTAATAACTTATAGGTTACCTGTCTGTTCAGAATATCACATTTACCTCACTATCAGCTAGCTTATCAGAATCACTGAGCCAGATGGCAAAAAATGTTAGCTGACAAAGCAAATCAAATTGATATTACTTGAGGCGCCTATCAGCCGGGGTTTTTTGGGGTGGAGCGTGAGAAGCTGATAGTAGTCATATGAGACGTCTTCAAAGAGCAAGTAAAACAAAGTATTATGGGTCACTCAAAAAGGCTTTCAGAGCTAATTTTTAAACCGCTTCAAAAAGAAAATTTAACTGCTCAACTTTCAGATTTACGACTTGGCATTTTGTCGACGGGGTTCGTTGCTTATCTGCCTTCAAAGGGTGGCAACTGGCGAGTTTTTCATCTGTGAAGGTACGATTGATAGTGATGCGTTCGTCGTTGAGATTTCCGGAGCTGTTCATAAGACCAACATTACTGTCGCGTAGGTTACTTTTCCTGGTTTCGAAAAAAGGGAATTCTCTAATTTGGTCCTTCTCAGGAAAGGCAAAAACGTGGTGCTTATCCGTGATGAAGCCGGCGTCGTTCTGTTGTCATATCCAATTCGTTGGCAATCGTCATCCACGAACAGCAGCGTTATCGAACTCTTCCATGTGTCGAACTTCCTCAGCTCGTCCAACGGCGACAAGTACACCATCTCTCTGCAAAGTCGAGAGATTTTCGACGGTAAAAACTGTGCTCTTCATTTATCGATTCACAAGCGATTAATGTGCTAACAATTTCAAAAAATCAGTTGAGCTAAAAGTACAAAATCGCCCTTTCATGGAAGTTCCACGAAAGGGATATGTTCAACTTAGAAAGCAAATCGTAAAAACATAAAATGTAAAACTGAGCATGAAAGAGTAAAGGGTAAAGATGACAAAAAAAGGAATGCTTGGAGAGTATTCATTTTGAGTGGAGCAAGCCGCGTATGCGAATTTAGTTCTAAAACTGAGTGATGGAAAGGTACTAAAGACATACTACAGGGATATCTTACAACGGCTCTGATGGGGATAT